GAAATCCTTATTCCTTGAATAAAGGAAGAGGCGGTACCTCGAAGTCATCGTTCTTTGAATAAAGGAAGAGGTGGTACTATGAAGTCTTTGTTCCTTAAATAAAGGAAAAAGCGGTACCTCGAATTTATCGTTCCTTGAATAAAGGAAGATGCGATATATTAGAGTATTCGTTCCTTAAAAAAAAGATAAGGTAAATAGCCAGACGTGTTTGCCCTTGTAAAAGGAGTCTTTCCTGGCCTTCTTCACCAGATGCTTATTCCTGATTTCGTGAGATGTTTATTCCTCGCCTCTCACTATCATCGAGCATAGCGTAAGATCTAGTCTATTCAAAGTCCCTTATAAGACTCCGATAGTTCGAGAGCTATTCGCAGAATGTTTATTCTTCATTTTGCTAGATGCTTATTCTCGACTTTGCGAGATGTTCCTCGCTTCTCACTATCGTCGAGCTTAGCTGTAAGACCTCGTCTATCCGAGGCCGCTTATAAGACTCTGATAGTTCGAAAGCTATCCGCAGGCAATTTATTCCCCTTCCCCGCCTCGCCAGACGCTTATACCTAGTTTCACAAGATGTTTCGCCTCTCACTATCGTCTAGCCTAGCTATAAGACCTCGTCTATCCAAGGTTACTTATAAGACTCTTGTAGTTCAAGATTATTAGCGGATGCTTATTCCCCGCATCACCAGATGCTGATTCTAGCTCTCCGAGATGATTATCCATCGCTCTTCACTATGTCAAGCCCAACTATAAGACCTCATCTGTCCTAGACCTGCTTATAAGTCTCCGATAGTTTGAGATGAGCCACCAGCTTAATATATTCCTCACTTCATAAGATGCCTCACCAAATGGGTTATTACATCACAATTACATCTATCTTTAGATAGCTTATCATGCCTCTACATTACAACTACCTACCTTTCAGAGTTTTGCTTCTACTTTAGCTATGTCACATCTACTTATCTTTAGAGAACTTATACTATCCCCTGCATAGATGAACTATCCACCATACAAGAAGCGTTTGACATGAATGAACCGTCTACCATGCAAGGATGTCATTTATCACTTTCTCAGGAGATGGGTGGGCCACCTTATTACTTACGAAGACGAAGCCTTTAATGGTTGGATTAAACACAAACTAGTACAAATGTGTGAGGAGCTATACCCTCAAAGTCTGCCTCTTCATCATTATTAGTATGGCTATTTAGTTCAAAGTCAACCTCTACATCTATTCATATCAGTACATCTGTTTATATTCAGTTCAGAGTCTACCTCTACATCAGTATCAGTATAGCTACTTATATTTAGAGCATGCCTCTACAGCTTATGTCCACAACATTGCTTATATCTACAATCTCATCTTTGCATCAGTTTCATCACAGTGGCTTATATGTCAAGTCTAACCCACATATAAATGTTCGACTCGGACTTGAAGGACTATTGTGATATTAATATCCCAGTAGCAATATGATTACTGTTAACATATTATTGTGATACTAATATCCTAGTAGCATTATGATTATTGTTAGCATATGCATTATATTATTGTTGTCAAGTACTCATGTCACGTTATTACTAGCATGCCTCATGAACCATAACATTATTTTTACTAATGCTAGTATGCATGTCACATTATCTACACTATCGTCAAGCATATGACATGTTATGATACATGATAGGCTTTTTGCATATTATATCTTGGAGAAATGTGATGTCATTATTCACTTTATAGTTTTGAGTATTTGGAGGGGCAAATGGATCCCAATTTATTTTATATATGTGCGGAGAAATTTATTTTATATATGTGCAGTGGATATATTGTATTATATTAAGGGTTGGTTTAGTTTATACTACAGAAGAGATGTTGTCGAAATTTCGACAAATTATATGCGATATTTTTCAAGGTAGTTCGTAAGTCGTCACTTACTAGAGCGACTTATATTCTCGAGGCAATTCGTAAATCCTCACCTATTTGAGATCGATGCATATTTTCAAGGTGGTTTGTAAGTTCTTGCTTATTAGAGTTATTCATACTTTTTGAGGCAATTCGTAAGACTTCTTCTACTTGACAGTTCATATTTCAAGTTTGACCCGCATATAAATATACGACTCAAACTTGAGAGACTATTGTTATACCTATAAAATTATCTCATATTGGGCCTTTCTATTGGATTAGGCTTGGACTTGGCTCATTAGCCTTAAGCCTCACATGGCCCGTTACATTTTTTTTTATATATATATTATTCATTTCACAAATGAGGTATGTTCTAGAACCCTAACCAATTTCCCTCTCCCGACTCTTGCAATCTTTATTTTCTTTTCGTCAGACTGTTGACTTGACCGTCAGAGTGCAAACGGTCGTCAGACTTTTCTCGATCGACGGCCTATGCCTCCTAACAGGGTGTTTCATGTGCAGATGTGAAGATGACGAGGCCACAGATCTATTCAAGACATTTTTTGGGGTCAACATGACCGTTGGAAAAGCACATGGTCCCCATTGCTGCCCATTTACTGTCATCATGTTATATTTATCACAAAAAGTTTATATTGCTTATTTTCTTACATTGAATTACTTAAACTCCTCAATCATCATATATTATGATTTGACAATTATTAAAGCACATATTTGAAAATGGCTAATTAAGTGATAATTCATTGAAGATGCAGGAAAAGAAGAAGCTACAATGGGACCTATTTCTGAGTTGCCAATGATTAAAAAATCACTTAAAATCTTGTGAAAATCACTCATAGAAAGGCTTAACAATTTTCAACCACACATTTTATCAAGTTATAAAAATACATTAAAAATCTAACCATTTACTAAATCAACCAAGGACTTGTGCATGTTTAGGTTTAGCAAATTGTCCCCAAAAAATTTCTTTACTGAGTTTTAACATCTCAAAGACTCAAAACTATCGACTTTTTCATCTATTTTTAGATATGGAATTTTCGATGAAAATGAACCAACGCGACTGAAATCATCTAGAGCTGATCGGATTGTGGGCATCATGGTTACAATAGAATGGTAACATAGGATTTAGTTTACGTTGGTATAAATATGTTTTTGCAGATAATTGGTTATGTTTTTATCACCCCGTAGACATGAACTTGTAGTTCATTCGTGCACAAGCGCGGAGCCAATACCCGGCGAGGGGGCGCGATTGTACGTGCTGGCTCCGTCGGAATTTGTAAAATCGTCGGGTAGCTAGCCATTCACCACCGTTGCAGCAGTTGCAGCGACTGGAGAAGGAAGAAGAAGATGAAAGGCCCCTTTTTTTTTGGTTGGTTTGGGCTTCGGTAAATTTGAGAAATTTTGGGCCTCTTATAATCTTATTGTTTAGCCCAATTGTCCAATTAGCCAGGAATTGTGAAATACCCAAATCCAATTCTCCCAAATTGTCAAACCGTTTTTCTCACTTCTTCTTTCTTTTTCCAATCCACATGAGTCACAATCTAGCTCCAGGAGGTAGACCGCAAACTCCATCGAAGAAGAGGCAACATTCGTCGGAGCCCGGAGCCAAGCCAACAAACGACGTTTTCTGCAGCTTCTGCTTCTGCTGCAATGAACAAAGTCGGGCCGTGACTCTCGATGAGCGGTGACTGCTTCTTTCCCTCTTATTTATTTTTATTTTTTATTTTTGGGTTTTATTCTATTTTGTTTTGGCTATTTTTGATTTTATTCTATTTTGTTGTGGCTAGCCTACTGCCTATTGTGTCTCTGACTGTTTAGTTGTCTACTTGACTTGGAGTTGTTGTGTTGTTGATGTTGAGTATTGAATAACTTTGGCCCTTTTGGTAGCCATTTTCTTCAAAATGCATTTTTCTCTCTTTTCTTTACAACCACACATTATTTATTAAAATAATAGTACACGTAAATCAAAAAAAATTTCTTATTTTTCAACCACACATTTTACATCAATTTACTATTCTAAAATGCATTTTTACATAAAAATGCCTATCAAACATCTAATGTTAATTATGTTATGATTTATTCATATGGAAATTTATGTTTGCGAATTGTGACTAAGCGGTTAGATAACCTACTGTATTCATTGGGCAATTTTATATAAATGAGTTTTTGTAAGAGAGTAATTTTATCAAATATTTAGCATTTAAACCAGCAAATAATGTTCCTCGACTAAAATCAAAGATTTCCAAAGCATTGAAGTTTTGCCATACAAACTTAACGATCCTCTGGGTGAGATGAGAACTGTGACATTTTTCTCCAAGTCCACTGTAACTTAGCCTGCTCGGCTTAAAATCATAACTACAAAGGAACATAATATTTTACAGATCATTATTGAAAAACAAAAGGAATGGTGCATCTAAAATAAAGTAAAGCGTGTGTCTGCTTCCATATATCCTAACAAAAAAAAATTGGTAGGCTTCACTGTTTAGGATCAAATACGACATTCTGGTTCATATTAGATGAAAACTAAATCCACCAAATATATCCTTAAATAGATCTTGACACAATGAAATAAGTTTGGAGACAACGCTATCATGAGTTAGTTCATTTACATATATATTAAATAATTTTTAATATTATGTAACCGAATTTTAATAAACGATCAGACTATTACGATCGTTGACGATCAACGATCAACAATCAGCCCGCCCTAGCTGGACTTCGATCCTGGATTCACCCCTGTTCGTGCACCTAGAAATCAAAATTTTAAGAATTGTTTTTCGGATTGGATTTTAATGTTTATTTGGAAGTGTTTAAATTACAATTTAATGAGTAAATAGTAATAGTAGTTGAAAATCTTACTAAATTCCTGTTTGAGGATTAAAATGAAATTTTTAATAGATTTTAATAAAAATTGATGAAATATATGATTAAAAAGTTATGATTTCCATAATATATATAGTTAAAATTAATTATTAACTTAAATTAAAATCTAAATTTTAATCCCATCAGAGTTAAATGTTTGGATGCAAAAAAAACTTGACCTAAAAGAGATTACAATTTAAACACTCACCGTGGTAAAATAAATAACATCGCCTTTTAAACGCCATGGTCCAGCATCTTCAACAGATCAACTGAACCGTATATATAATTATTAATATAGTACATGTTTATACACAATTTAAACAACCAGTATGAGTAATTTTTCTGCTGTATGCAAAGTAATTTCACGTAATCAAAGTCCAAAAGTTAAATAAATTTCACAAAGAAGTTGAAACTACATTGACTTGGAGCTGCAGAGAGTGTAACCAGATATAAGCGAACTCGCCGCCAAGGCAACAAATGCAAGAAATGACATCGATACAGAAGCACTAGCCATGTTTGGAAACTTGTCGTTTCCCCAATTGGATTGCCATTCATCAATTCTAGTCGTAGCTGATGAAGATGCCGATATCAGAAGATAAGTAATTATCTGTGATTGCAAACAACATAAAAAACGAGTTTAGTCATCGTTGCCAGGTGATACGTTTAAGCATGCCGATCAAGTCTGAGACTAGAACTATACAACAAGAGAGTACAAAATGCGAATATGAAATACTGCTGGTACTAGAGTCTTTCATATTGTTGCTTGATCCGAATTTTCCCATTAGCTTCGGGCAAGTTTTTAATACTTATCCTAAATTATAACCCAATTTTTTTAAGGAAAGCACCGTCACAGTCTCCTCGTGTTTTTTAGGCTCTACCAAGACAAGATGGACTCAAGATTGAGGAAGAAGCCTGCCCATAAGGTCCCTTTAAACGAACTGCCTGCTAGCTGGACACAACCTTTTAGGTCATTAGTACGACCTGCTAACCGACTAATCTTATGCCACGGGTTTTGAATATCAGAAGCATATTATTAAGCACAATATGCCTAATTACCTCTCGTTTGGTATTATCACGATCAGACAACTAGAACACGCTTACAAATTTGGACCAGTTCAAGGACGAAGAGATAAGACTAATTGCTGTAAGAATATAGTTGAATGACAAGAGGATATACGTTGCAGAATATTTGGACTGTGAATAGATTATCATTTTTACAATTTACATCTATCTTTTACTCACGATAACAATTCCATCTTAGCTCCTAAACCTTTTTTCTACTCGCATCCAACTGCGAGATGAACAACAAACTCCAAAAAGTGAAGAATCCAACGAATTCCCACCCACAGCTCCATTACATATGAAATATCACCAAATAAGGCCAAGATAACTGTAAGAATAAATTGCCAAGCAAAGGCAAAGGGCAATAATGGATTTTTGTTAACTAATAAGCAAATTAGCGTCCTTCAATTTCTATTTTCATGGTGTTCTATCCATTTTTAGGTAATGATAAATTCTTGTTCTTTACTCTAATTTTTCTAATTAGCAACAATCACACCGAAAGAAAAATTTAGCCATTAAGGTGTGGTCCCCCAACAACCCGAAGTCACGTAGAGAGTTATTACTACAACAAACGGAGAAAAGAAAAGGTTAAGTTCCATTCGAAAAAGTAAACTTCCTTCAAAAAGTGCCAAAAAGTTAGCTAAATAGTCCACAGCAGAAACATATCTTTGCCAAATTAAACACCCAAAATTAAAACTTGCCTGATCAATGGTGAAATTAAAATAATACCGGCGTTGCTGTTGATGCTGCATGATATACTTTCTGGTGGCTAAATTGTACGACAAATCCAACGCCTGCGCGCCTGAGTATACAAATCCTATCACATTCACTGACATACAGTACCTGAAAATTGCCAAATCTCCATTTTAACAGAGCCCGAAAAGGCAAAAACCACATCCGTCTAACTCAAACGAGCAACAATCCGTTCTAACATAGAACCATTTCATTCATATGAAGCTGATAAGAAACATAGTATTAGATTTTAGTAGTATAAAAAGGTGAGATTTGAATTATAATAAACTTGCCTGAATTCTTTGTAACGTTCGAATGAATCAAGAGCCCAACCCTGATTTCTATCAGCTGCCATAAGTGAGAACGAAACCAAGCAAAACAAGAACCCAAATATCCTAAACCCCAAAGCAGCTTTTTTCACCATGTTTTCCCTCTTGGTTCTACGCAATACAGAAAGTGCTGGCCTAGGCCTCCGCCGCCCACTTCCACCACCACCGCCAGGTCCGCCACTAGTTTCTTTCCCAGACTTTCCATCTGGGCCACCCGGATCAGTCTTGGACACTATTTCCATAGGCTCTGCTACAACAGACCAGTTCACAAAAGCCGGATGATTCTCCGATGAGTTCATTGGAGGACTCTTCGTCTCCGGTGGGGGGACGGCAGATTTATCTTCTCTTGGGGAAGACCCATGAGTAAGAGTGGTTCGATCAGATGAAATTGATGACCGGCCCGGTGAGTTTCCTGCCGGCGGTGAGAGTGATATATGTTCTCCACTATTTTGTTTGGAGTGTGGTGGTGAGGAATCGGAAACTGAAACTTTGTGTGGAGTAGAAACTGCAGTGGACTCGGAATCAATAGGCGTGTGTTGTTTATTTTGGGGTTCCATATTTTTATCTCCTGAATCACTGATTAACGTCTGTGTTTTGCACACGAGGAGTTTTCCTTTTTTCTCAACTTCCTGGCTTGGTAAAGGCAAAAACATTTGGAATCAAAAGTTGAGAATGGAAGGCTATGAGTTCCATTTATTTGATTCTTAAATTTGGAATGGAAGGCTATGAGTTCCATTTTCTAACATAATTCTTTTGGACATACAATGATGGGCTTAGGACAAAAAATCCAAGTTTAGGGTAACAATGGGGGCCGACTAGCCCTGTACACGATAGGCCCAACACGGTTGAAGCCATGATGGCTCTTGACAATTTACACAAATGGGTAAATAGGGAATGAATAAAAAAAAATATTAATGTTTGATAAAAATATTTTAAAATTATCATATACTGACGTTTAAAGAAAAAACGACCACGGCCAAAAAAATCTCCAAACTGGACAGTTCCTAGAAGATGGCATAAAAATAAAAAAAAATAAAAAAAAAATCCATAATACAAAAACTAAAGCTACCAGAATGCGGATGCAACAAAAATTTGGGGTGGCAATGATGTCAATTTTTGTGTATTTTTTTACATAATGGCGGTTGATAGTGACGGTAATGTCAACTAGGTGGGAGTGGTGGTGCGGGTGAGATAGGATATGTGTCAGGTGATTGTGGTGATCGTGTTGACAAAGGTGGAGGGAACACAATATATTTTCACGTGTTATGCATCCGCAGGGGAGAATTCAGGAAAAATTTTAAGACAAGCTAAAAAAAAAAAAAAAAAAACCCACAAAAAAAAATTTTTTTAAAAAAAATTTTTTTTTTTTTTTTGAAAAAAAGAAAAAGAAAAAAGGGCATATTTAAGTTTTTTGGACGAAAATAGGGTATCTTGAAGCTGTCCCAAAAAAAAATGACATTTCCACTAATAAAGCCATTCGAAATATCCATTTAGTGATAGACGGTCCCAGCGATATTTTAGTGTTTGTACTATTTTATGACTTTTAAAATCCATTGTTCATTGTATTTCATTTTTTATTTATTTATAACAACTAAGTTCTTCCTCGGCCATATTTAAGATTTACTATTTATAAAGTACATAATGTAGGAGTTACAATTTATCTAACTTCTAGGGCCTGTCTGGTGCAGCTTAAAAGCAGAATTATACTCGTTGGAAGGAAAAAAGTGACCGTTGGAAGCTGCAATCTTTGACCAATTGTGAGAGATGTAGGACCCATTGTGGAAAAAAAGGGCACAAAAATCACTTTTCATCTGCCAAAAAATTTCTACCAGACACAGCCCTAGTAAAAAGGAGAATGAGGATCTACTATTCATACAATAGTAAATGAATCCAATTTTACATTGCATGATGTCATTTTTTATTTTCCATTTTATTTATGTCAAACAAATATTTTTCCACACATCATCCTGCTAGCATTAAAAAATAATTATGTCAAACAAATGTTCTTTCACACATCATGTCACTAGCATTAAAAAAATAATAATAATTTTAGTAAATATAAATTGACATGAGCAAAAAAAAAAAAAACTCTTCACACGTGAGCTTTAAAAAAGTTAAAAAAATAAACTCTTCGCACAGTGCAAAAAGATGGCAAACCATGTGCAGAGTAAAAACGAAAGAAAAAACTCTCCGCATAGTGCGGAGAGATGACAAACCATTTGCGGAGAGTTGGCAAACTCTCCGTACAGTGCGAAGTAAAAAAAAAATCTCTTTTATTATGAATCTGATTTTATTATGCATGATGTCATTTTTTATTTTCCATTTTGTTTATGTCAAACAAATGTTCTTCTACACATCATGTCACTAGCATTAAAAAAAATAATAATAATTTAAGTAAATATAAACTGCCATGAGCAAAAAAAAACTCTTCGTACATGAGCTTTAAAAAATAAATAAATAAACTCTTCGCACAGTGCGAAGAGATGGCAAACCATGTGCGGAGTGAAAAAGGAAAAAAAAAACTCTCCACATAGTACGGAGAGTTGGTAAACTCTCCGTACAGTGCGAAGTAAAAAAAAATCTCTCTGCATAATGCGAAGAGATGACATTCTATGCGGACACTTTCCTCGCAAAGTGCGAACTATCCGTACAGTGCGGAGTAAAAAAAGCAAAAAAAAAATTTCGCACACTGCGGAGAGTTGACAAACTCTCTGTACAGTGCGAAGTTTAAAAAAAAAACTCTCCGCACAGTGACTGTCACGTGTGTTGTACGAATTTTGCATTTATCGAATTTTTATTAGTGTATGAATTTTAATTTTTTGAAATATTTTTTAAACAATATCTAAAAATATTTTCATGATACAAGAAAAGAATTGTAAATTATTTTTACAATTGCATAA